ATGCAATCCCCGGTTTTTGCAGCTCGTCGAGACGGCGATGTCCCTCAGCGATGCGCTTGGCCGACGCATCCAGGCTGTTGATGCGACGAAACTTAAAGGCAACGCCCAAGTCTTTGGCGCTCTGCACCACTGCAAGTCTTGAGTCAGGAGGCAGCAATTGCTGAGCGGGCCCCAACAGCCAAAGGCGCAACTTCTTGTCGGTCATCAGAGCTTCTGCAAGAGACTCCACAGTTGTGCCCGTCCACGTGAAATTGTCCACATATGAGGAGTGTTCGGCGCGAAAGCTCATGTGATGCACCTGGGCCGCCCAACACACCGCAACCTGAGCAACTACCGACAGGGGGCAACCCTCCGGCATGCCAGTGCAGGAGAGGACAGGAGGGCCAATGGAGCCATGAAAAACAGGGAGGCGATGGCAACAGTCCAACCAATCGAACCAGGCATGCAACAGCGGCTCAGGGAAGCCCAAATGCGCAAGCAAAAAACGCAGTGGTACTCTGGGCAGTTGATTGAAGCACTTCACCACATCAATGGAAAAGCCGGCAAAAGGAGTGGAGTGCAGGAGATGCTGCTCGACCTGGCACTCCAGCGCAAGAGACAGATCTCGAACTGAACGGCCCGGCACGCCAGCGGGACCAATGGCTCAAAACGGCCTTAGCCACTCCAGAAGCCCACAGACGGTAAAGGTTAACGAAGACCGTGACAGGGCGACCATGCTGCATTCCTTGAGGCTGCTGGACCTTGGCCAGAGTACTGACGGTGGCGCGCGCAAAGTGCTTAGGCCAGCCATGCACGGAGCACAATGTGAACAAACGAACCAGATCCTCCAGGGGGGCGGGCAGGTGGGAGCTAACGCAGCTCCTGACTCGAGAAGCCGCAGTACCCAGTGGCCGACCTCGGCTTGAGGTTGCGCAGGTGTTGTTGCCAGCAGAAGGCAGGTTCAGCGAGCTGAAGCTGCAGGCCCGCGCAGTCAGGCGGCGGCTCAGGCAGGGAAGCAAAAAAGAAGTCCAACAGCCAAGGTCGGTGGCTGCAGGACCCTGATCCCGATTCCACAGTGGGTGCCAAAAGTTGGTAAAGCAACGGTGCAACCCCCGTGGAGTGACCGCCTCGGTGGCTTGGCGAAGCTGGCAGTGAAGAGGTAGTGGATGTTGTGCAAAATGCAGCCACAGTCGCGGCCCAAAGACATCGTCTTGTTGGCAGGCACCGACTTGTATCGCTTGATCATCCGCAACAGCGGGGCAATCAGGGCAGAAAAATTCAGGTGAGGGGACCCGGTAAAGGCCCCATCCATTCCGCGCACAACATTCCAGCGATGCTGGCTGGCATTCCTCAACTGGGATAGACGTGAACGGAGGGTTCTCGGGGGGCCGGATGGATCGATAGCCCTGTCGGAGGCCCGACGCTGCATCTTGGGCGGCCTGATAAGAATTGCAGCTTCCGTTGACGTTGCTCCTGGCGTATGACTGCCTCGCATTCAAACCGAACAAAATCCAGGACATCACTGAGCCATTCCTCTGGGGGCAAGGACGCAAGCAACCGCGAAGCAGCGGCAAGCTCGCCCGGTTCAGTGGCAGAAGGGAGCCCAGGGTAACATTCAGTAAAGTGCGAAATCCGCAACAACCACTGACCAAAGCAAGGTGGATAACCCTTGGCCTCCTGTATGGCTGCCCATTCCTTGCAGAGTGAGGCAACCACTGCACTTGGCGGCGGTGCGGCACGAGCCGACGACCGTGTGGAGGCTAAGTCGCTTCCGGAAAGCCTGTATGCGGCGGACCTGCTTGACCTTGTGCCGGGACCTGTGCGAGAGGGCCTCATCAGGCGGGGAGTAGTCGCCACAGCGAGCGCTCGGGGCAGTGACTGGCAGAGCTTGTGCTTTGACTTCCCTATATACACATCTGCCTTTGGCGCGGCGGGGCAGGCGAGCGAAAGGGCACCGAAGAGGATCACCATGGTGGGCCTGTTGTATGGCTGAGTCCACCGATGCTTCGAGAACGGAAGCCCACTGGGCAAAAGCGGTGTCAAGCCCATCTCGAGAATCACACGTCTCCAAGCACTGCTGCATGCTAGCCCGACCCTGAAGGTAACTCTGTCGGGCCAAGTCAGCGTTCGGCTCAAATTCCATCCAACTTGTAGGCCCGCGCCACACCTGTTTGCACGGATTATGCTGAGGCAGCTCAAACGTAAGCAGCATGGGGGCGTGGGAGTCAAAGAGATGACAATCCACGTCAACAGAAGCGGACTGCAGGAGAGGCTGGAAAACCCGTGGTAGCAGCACAGAATCATGCCGTGTACTGTTGCGGCAGGTGGGCGGCAGATTCAGCCCAAAGCGCCTGGCACAAAATGAAAAAAGCTCCGCATAGCCCAATCTCTGGAACTCCGGCCAACACGGGAGCTTGGTGACATCAGTATTGAAGTCCCCGCCAATGATAGTGGGCAGTGGCGAGCAGGCTACCGACTACGGGGGTTGTGTCGCTCACCAAATTGCAACAGGTTTAACAACCACCGAAGAAAGCCCCGTACAATCCAGCAAGTATTGTTGTGATTGAACACTCACCGATGCAGCAAGAACATGAAGGGGGCTTGTTTGTCGGTCAACAGCCAGCCAGTCTGAGCTCCTCAGAACCAACACAACCTTCTGGGCTGTCTCCGGTTGCGGCACATCCCCAACAGAGGATGCCACATGGGCCCTCACCAAGATCTTGTTACCCTGGTAAATGGGTGCATCGAAAGGACATGCCACAATGTTGATCACTTCACCCGCCAAGCCAGGATGCAACGTCTTGGCAACCCTCTGCAAGCGATCCCAATTGTATAGCAAGTTATCATAAACTCGATCGGTCATGGCTCAATTGGTACCTGTCTACACGACAGGCGACGGCACTGCCCCGAGTAGGCCTGAGCCGAAGTGCTCCTAAACCCTAAACCCTCATGTGATTTGTCACCGACTTGCGCACACATACAGATTGGTCGCTTGTTGCGTGTCATGCCAACTTTGTCTCACTCGCAGCTTGATTGCTCAAGACCCGCTTTGCGAGGTCTCAGGACAAGGGCCGCTTATGCCTAGGGAGGTGTAGTACCTGCCCGTTCTCTGTGCAGCTAACCTAACGGAGCTAGCATTCCGATCTGACCTCCTGCAACGCATTGCCTTTGCTGTTGCCTTGCTTGCTTTGCTATACGATTGGAGGCGCCCTGCTTTGTGACCGAGAGTTAATAAGTGGATTCCTCTGCTTTTCACAGGTTATCAGCCGTAGGACCTCTTGTTTCCGATTGTGTATCTCTGCTTGCTGCTGCCGCCCTTGCACTCGGGTCGTCCATCCGACTAGCTTCTGAAACACAACCGATACCTGTATCCGGGCGCCACTTCCCTGTCCGGCTGCGTGGAGTGTGCAGTACATTGGCCAGTTCCAGCCCCAAGCCTGTCATTGTCATGGTTGATTTGTTTGCACACACCGCCGACATGACCCTGGCCTGCGTGACAGAGTCATTCAAGCAGAGCATGGGCGGAGTTCATTTGTACTACTTCGGCTTCCACACCACTGATGTCGAGGTGGGCGGGGGAGGGTGACAGTATTCCGCACAGTGTAGATGCATCAAAGCTCATGTTTTGTGCATGGTCATGGCATGTCGTTTCTTGAGGGGTACTCCGAAGCCAGAGGTTCCACTGCCAGAGCAGACTCTTGTCTTGTCTTGGTTGTGGTTGTCTGTTTTGTAACACATCACCACATGCAGTGGAGACACCCCTGTTGAATTTGAAGTGATAGCTGATAGATCCGCGGCCCCAGGAAGGTTGAGGATGACGACGTGCCGCCGCCACCGAGTCTCAGTGTGCTTGGGTACAATCCGCTGCTGGTTCGGGGACGGGCGGGGGGCACTTACTGAACACGTACACCTTGGTTGCTTGTTGCGTTTCATGCCAACTTGTCTCACTCGCAGCTTGACTGCTCAAGACCCGTTTTGCGATGGACACCTATAGGGAGGGGTAGGACTTGCCGGTTCTCTGTGCACTTAACCTAACGGAACTAGAACTCCGATCTGACCTCCTGTAACGCATTGCCATACGATTGGAGGCGCCCTGCTTTCTGACCGAGAGTTAAATGGATTCCTCTGCTTTTCATACTTATATCCCTCAACCCTACACCCCACCCCCCAATACCCTGGTTGGAAGAAATCGCCGCTGACACCGCTACTCTTCGAGACCGACCTTTAGATTCTTGCAACTTAGCCCGCAGACTGTTTCCTCTGGCACGGTCCTAGGGTTCTGAAGCTTCTTTCACGGCGGGGCTGAAGTTGTATAACCCCATCACCCGGCTAACAGGCTAGAATTAGAATGCGGCTAGACGAATGCAACATCGAGATCCTCAACCTTGGCTTCGTGAACTTCGTCGTGCAAGCCTGAAGAGCCGCCTTCCAGCAAAGACCCCGGAGGAATGTCAGCTGCTGGATGAGTTCATCGAGAAGGTTCAAGCCGAAGCTTACCTGAAAGCCCCGTGCCAGTAGTTTCTATACAAATACGTATACCACAATACACTTAATATCAACTAATATACCATGCGATAACCGACTATGAGGCATACTTACTGTACACAACATACTTTCAAACCCTATTCACGCCCTCAACCAGGGCTCGACACCCAAGACCTATATATATATATGCCGAGAAGATGGTCGAGCAAGAACCTCCCACCAACACCTGCCGAAATCTGTATTTGCGCGCACGTTTGCCAGTCAGAGTGTGTCAAGCGATTTGGCCCCGTAACTATGGAGCGAGCTTGCAACTTCTGTGAGTCACCCTGAGCTTTTGTGTAACGAGGCTTCTTATGAAGATTCACCCACCCAGCCTGCTTGTGGAATTTAGAGGGTGCGAGTCTGGGTTTGGAGATATTGTGTGTGGAAAGATCAATTACGGGGGTCATCTTGCATGACCGAACGGGCATGATCGAAAGACGTGTCGTCCGCTGTCTCAAGTTTTGCACCTGTACAGCTGAGAGGTTGCCGGCGTCATGTCCGAAGTTCAGAGTGCGGAATCGTTGTTTTCTGGCTGGCAGCAAGCCTGCTTGATCGTGGCTTCCTTCGTCGTGCAGGTGGTTGTCATGGGACTGTTTTACTCCTATGGCACTATCTTCGCTGCACTGAAGGCAGACACAGGCGATGCAGCCAGCACCCTGGCGCTTATGGGTTCGATTCGGGACTTCGTGTTCCAATTAAGCACTGCGCCGGCTGGATTCCTGGTCCATCGTGTCGGCTTCGTGCGGATGGCTGCCATTGGGACAGCTTTACTTCTATTTGGCATGCTTGCAGACAGCTACGCCCCATCCAGCCATTTCCTTTTCATGAACTGTGGATTGGTCGGCGGAGCCATGGCCATGATCTTCACCGCATCCGTGACGGTCCTTTATGGTCCAGGCCATATCAGTCGAAGCTTTCTGCCTGTGGCTGTGGGCCTGGCTTCGTCCGGTGGAGGCCTTGGAACTGTCGTGGTTAACCTGGGACTCGACCTGCTGCTGGAGAGCTTCAGCTGGAGGGGGGCGCTTCGGATTTGCTGTGGAGCCTTTGGCCTACTGCTGTTGGTTTCCGTGGTCGCTCTCTGGTACGGTCTTCGCCACCACAAGCAGACCAAAGAAGTTACCAGTGAATCTCGAGAGTTGAGGAGCTGCAGCGATGTCCGAGAGTTCTTACAGCCTTTCGGAGACTTGCAGTTCCTGCTGCTCAACGCCGCTTTGTTCCTTTATGGCATTGGCTTCATGGTGCCCTACACGCACCTCGTGTACTACTCTGAAACAGAGAGGGGCCTGGAAATGTCAGGAGAGCTAACTTCACTTCTTGGTATATCCGGTGCAGCTGCTCGTCTTTGCTTCGGCCTTTTCTCTACATGCGTGAAGCCTTCCAGGCTTATGCTACTCGTGCTGCTCGCGCAGGGGACATCCTTAATCTGTCTGCCCTTCTGCGACGATGCCGCAGAACTGTGGGTGTTTTCTGCCATTTATGGTTGCTGTTCCGGAGGCCGTGTTGTTCTGTTGTCATTGGTCGTGAACGAGCTTTTCGACTCACAGAGAGTAGCACACCTCTATGGACTTGCTAGCATACCGTTCCTGGGCTCTGCTTGGTACGGCTTTGCGTTTAAACTCCGCCGGCAACAAGCCCTACTGCATTAATGTAACCGATTTCGCCTTTAATTTTTATGTACTGTGGGAGCAGGTTTTATGTAGCCCCCCTCCCCACGCATATTTTTGGTGCCTTGATTGAATACTGAATAGTGTGCTCGGGACCTGCCCACTCCGGTGTATGGGTGTGTTGAATACCGTGCAACACCAATTTTTGACCCATGGCGATACGGAGGATTGCAGTCGGCACGCTTCTTGGGCCCACCTTTGTCGGCAGGGTTTATGACCTCAGTGGCCACTATGACGGCGCCTTCTTCGCCGCAGGTGGGATCGTTCTCGTGGCAGTCCCTGTGTTTTGCCTTGCGATTTTCTGTCGGCGATCCATCGAGAAGCCTTCGTCGGTTACGGAAGTTCCAGCGAAGGCGGATCATCTGGAACAGATCGTCCCGCCGTGCGATCCATCGGATGAATTTCCGGATGTAAAGTCCCAACTTTAATTGGATTCCTGGGCGAGAAAAACTTTCTCCCTGCAACAGTCAGGGGTTGAGGGGCGACTTGAGCCGCTTTACCATGCACACTGCGGCGTGCTATTTAACACTTTGGGATGCCGCAGATCAGGACTCCCTCTTCCTGCATAGGGGTTCCTAGTGAATCCATCAAGGGCCTCTGAATTTGAATTCTTCTGTTGGTCTGCACACGAATCGTGTCCGGAAATGCAGGTTATAGGAACTAGCACCATGCCAAACTTAAACCCCATACCGCATACAGTAAGTGGCGTCGTTGGTGATACATTTGGCCGCCTTGTCAAGCCCTGGCGCGAGATTACTTTGTGATCGAACCTGCTTGCATAATTATCCGGAGTTCGACAAGATGCGCCTCCTGCATGAAACTTCACTCACAAAGCCTCCTTGCAGAAGCTTTGTGAGTACTATCTGCCATGAATATCTTGGCAGGAATGATGTTAGTGATACCATGTGCCAACTGCTCGGAGAGCGGCTGGAAGAATGGACATTCCAGATATGTGCTCGAGCTCCTGGTTAATCAAACGTTGCCTCAACGCTTGGGCGGCGGGGAGGGAGGGAGAGCGCAGCTGCTGCAGCAGATGCTATAGCGGCTGTGAGTGACGTCATGGTGACACTCTTTAGAGGGTATACAAGCCGGCTCCAGATCCAAGCAAGATAGTTCGTTGTCAAGGATACCATCTCGGGGCAGAAGACGATCGAGCTTTCGGAAGCTGCGCAGATCTACCAGGAGCAACCATTTATCCACCGGCGTTTGTTGAAGAAGCCGGGATTTCCTGGATACAGCTCGAAAGTCTGGTCTCTTGTGTGGATGCATTTACATCTCGGCTGGACTGGAATATCAGTTCCCACACCCAAAGGCAAGTTTGTATGCTGCAAATTTGACCTGTAAGAGTTGGCCTACGGATGACTTGCTAGATTTTGTTTGGGAATGTATTTCAGCACTTTCCCCCAGCCCGGCCTTTGTGCACCAACTTCACCCAACACTCTTGAGAGCGTAAACCTACGGGTTGAAATTCAACGGCCAGGTGTAAGATGTTTCATCCTGAAACACCCTAAAACCTAAAACCCCAAAACCCCAAAACCCTAAAGCCCTAAACCCTAAACCTGGCATGTCCGAGTTGTGAGAGCCTAAACCCCTAATATCGGCCTCAGCGCTCTTGGAGAGATGCCAAACCTTCTCTGCACATCGCCTTGGGTCCTGAACCGCAACCCTGAAACCCGAGATCCAGGTTACCCTAACCCTCCAGGTACCTACTATATAGGGCCCAAAAGCTAGGGGCTCTAGTACCCTATATAGTAGGTACCTGGGGGGTTAGGGTTAACCCAGATGTCTTCTGCGTGAAGCCCATGAAGCCCTAGACATCCCTAAACCCTAAACCGAAAGAGGGTTTAGGGTTTATTTAGGGTTTAGGGCAAAAAAACCGAAAGAGGACTATTGGCTGCCTCTCCCTCGCGAGCCACTGCCACCAATGCTTGATGGGTCGATGAAAGTTTTCGCCGCTTCGACCGGTTTAGGTTTTAGGGTGAATGCTGCGGGTTTGTTTCGGTTTAGGGGTCTTTGCGGAATTAGCAGTTTCGACGAGGCTTCATCGTTCGGGTGCTGAAATCTACAGCCGCGAACGTACATGTTTGGCCGTGGCCGGACTTAAGTGCGAAACCGATGAGCCTTGTATCTTCCATAGTGGTAGGCAGCAAATTGACTAAACAAGGTTGGTCTGCATAGACTCTGCATCCAAGGTTTTGGAAGATCCGCTGGGTGAACATGGCCCTCACCCTGAGGAAGTGAAGGCAGATTGTGTGGTGCGAATGGGATCTTCCGTGAGAGTTTCCTTTGTGTGCCGAGTGGGCATGTTGGGGCTGTTGCAAGACAGGGATCCGAAGCCTCCGCGTAGTGGAACTTTGACTTTTCCGGCGTGGCCACGAGTTCCAGGGATGTGCTTGGAGGATGGATTTTGTTAGGATAGCAAATCTCAGAAGTAACCTTTGTAGCTGCGAGTGCCATGATGGAGGCCTCTTGCCATCCATATCCACTGGCATCACAACCGCCACCAAACTTGTGGTTTAGGCTCCACAACCTTTCCTAAGGGTCCAGCTACTTACTACTATGGAATTAGGTCCCCAAAACCATAATCTGAATGGTCTTTTGGGCCCTAATGACATAATGGTAGTATTTTTGGACCCTCTGGGCTTTTGAGTTTAATAAACGAGATCCGAGGTTGCATAGCCTGCATCTTTCACCGGACACCTTTCCTCCGGAAGATTCCGATGAACATCCTTTTCAGCGTGGACCACCACAGCCACCTGCAAGTCCCACAAGCCCCTGCGACATCTGTGTAAATCTGCGCAAACAGCCCATAGAATTGTAGAAGGTGCATTGCTAGTAACTACCGTTGCTTATATCACTATCATGTGTTATGATGGTCAATTCGGTGGATAGGACAGCTCAGATCTGAGGCAGACCGCATGCGCTTTCCAGCACAAGAGTTGGCCCAGGCTCTTGTTGACGTCGTTTACTCGATGCTTCGTGTTCATGGGTAGGTAAAGCAATGCTATAGTTAGGGTTATAAGTCTGACGTCTAACCGTATTTCCTACGCCTCATGCCTTGCATTGCGTTACCGGGTCTTTCATTTTTTGCATAGCCTGGCAAAAGGAAGGCTGAGTTAAGGGACCCTCATACATGCCCTGAATAGAAGGATCGCTCTTGCTAGGAATTCTGGAACATGACACACTCGTATCTTAAGCTTCCTAGATTTGAGGAAGTGGCCCTTGAAAAGCTCGGGCTGCCCTGTCATGTAGAGCCCGACGTCGTCAACAGTCAATCCGTCCCCCTATCACAATAAGGACTATAAGACACCATAAGCATGATTCTATTGTTTCCCTATCAGAATAAGGACTCTAAGACACTATAAGTATGCTTCTATTGTTTCGGCCGTTGAACAGGAGTTTATGAACCGTGGTCTAGGGCCTTCCTGAGTAAGAGGTACCTGAATCCGGACTTTGATTTCGGTTTTGGGTTTAGGGAGTACCTGAGTTTATTGATTTGACTGATGCCTGGGAGAGAGAGAGAGAGAGAGAGAGAGAGAGAGACTTGGGGTTCAGTATGTAGGGCGGGTTTAGGGCTAGGGTTTAGGGTGTACCTCAATTCGGAGTTTCTTTAGGGTTTAAACGGTCTCGGAGGTACGTTGAGTAAATTGATTTCTTTTGAGGCAGAATCCTAGTACTCAGGATCTATAAAAGGGACTGGCTCTTATCTTGAGAATCACGACCGCAGCAGCGAAACGGCAGCTCCGGTAGTCGAAGTAACAAGCCCCAAACCTTAAACCCGCAATCCTTGCGAGACGGAATATGTTCGTAAAAAAGCCTGAGATCTTGCCGCTGGCCCGAAGCCCTACCAGGATTTCCGTGCGCTCACCCAGGCGTGAAGCCAAGACGCATATCACAAAAGGGTATGCAAGCCAACTTCGACCAAGCTTCACAGAAGATCTGCAATCTGAGTATGAGTTCAGTTTCATCCACGAAACCCTAGCTGGAACAGAAGAGAGGCCACTGGCACTAAACTCTAAGAGCTGCACCTGTAGCCTCCCAGATTTCAAACCTCCTGGCTCCGACTCGGAAACTCCCTGCGAGGTGTGTGAGAAGCGCCTGGAAGTTTTCAGGCTTTGGGGTTGTGGCGGGGTTCATGTTTCAGGGTTTTGCTGCTTCCCAGCTAATCAGCAGAGTCTGGGTTCAACAAGGGTTAAGGGTTTGCGGAAGTATGTTGTGCTCTGTCTCGTCCTACTGCAGAGATAGGAAGGTGGCATGTTCTTTTCTTGGTTGGCTGAGGCACCTGGGGATGTGTGTTTCATGCAGTGCGGAGTGTTAACATGCCTGACCGGACATCTATGACCGGACGACTTGCGATCCTTCCTTCGTTTTCTCAAGCTTTGCACTGTAGTTAGCGGGAGGTTGCAAGCCCTTCGCTGGCATCATGCCCGAAATGCAGAACGCAGGATCGGTGCTTTCCGGCTTGCAGCAAGCCTGCTTGGTCGTGGCTTCCTTCCTCGTGCAGGTGGTGGTCTTGGGGCTCTTCTACTCCTATGGCACACTGTTCGCTGCACTGAAGGCAGACACGGGCGATGCAGCCAGCACCCTGGCGCTTGTGGGTTCGATTCGGGATTTTGTCTTCGCCTCAGGGGCTGCACCAGCAGGATTCCTGGTCCAGCGTGTCGGCTTCGTGCGGATGCCTGCAATTGGGTCAGCCTTGCTTCTGCTCAGCATGCTGGCAGACAGCTACGCCCCCTCCAGCTACTTCCTCTTCATAACCTGTAGTTTGGTCGGTGGGGTGGCCATGGCCATGATCTTTACCCCAGCCCTGACGGTCCTCTATGGTCCAGGCCATATCAGTCGAAGCTTTCTGCCTGTGGCTGTGGGCCTCGCTTCGTCCGGCGGAGGCCTTGGAACTGTCGTGGTTAATCTGGGACTCGACCTACTGCTGGAGAGCTTCAGCTGGAGGGGGGCGCTTCGGATTTGCTGTGGAGCCTTTGGCCTACTGCTGTTGGTTTCTGTGGTCGCTCTCTGGTACGGTCTTCGTCGCCACAAGAAGAGCGGAGACTCCACCACCGACTATCAAGAGCTGCGGAGTGGCACCCATGTCCGAGACTTCTTCCAGCCTTTCGGCGAGTTCCAGTTCTTGCTGCTGAACGCCGCCTTGTTCCTCTATTGCATCGGCTTCATGGTGCCCTACACGCACCTTGTGTACTATGCTGCAAACGAAAGGGGACTGGACATTTCAGGCGAACTAACTTCACTGCTTGGCGGAGCCGGTGCAGCTGCTCGTCTTTGTTTTGGCCTTTTCTCTGCGTTTGTGAGGCCTTCGAGGCTTTTCCTGGTCGTCCTGCTCGTGACGGGGGCATCCTTAATTTGCCTGCCCTTCTGCGACGACGCCGCAGAACTGAAGGCCTTCTCTGCCATTTATGGCTTCTCGTCCGGAGGC